TTTGTTTTTCACTCGAGTTCTTTTTTCAAAGTTAATCATTTCTGTTTATAAAACATTCATTGCAGATAAGATAAAGGATACACATGACTATATGATTAAAGAGGGGTATTCACTCAAGTGTGTCTGCAATTCAAATTTTACTGGCTGAACATAATAAATATCATTTTATTCCGTATTTACTAACATTCTTAATTGCATGTAATGTACAGGTAAAACTTGTTAAGTTGTTCAGTTTGTTTTTGCAATTCGGGGTTGTTAAAAACTTTCATAGGATGAAATTCGAAATATTTATAGTAAATAGTATGCCGTGATTAATTCATGTGTTTAATAATTCCTGTTTTGTAAATTTGATGTTTTATCTATTGACTTAGTAGTGAAATTCTCATGTGAAGACAAATAGCCATTCTACTGATCTCTTAAACAGAAAAGTCATTTAAAAACATCAATGCTTTTCCCCCAAATACATCTATCATATCAGTTTGGAAATGTTTAGTCTATGTACTCTGATGTCATACGAGTTATGTTGTATTATTATATCTATTTTTTTAGACTGATTAATATAACAGATACTTTTTGCCTCAATCTAGTATGTTTCTGTCTTGTTGTGACATTCAACGACACATATCGGTAAAGTTATGACATGGCTTAACAAACATTGACATTCCGAGCGAACGAAGCATAAATCATCATTATCTTTCCTGCAGCCGAACCTTGCTAACTTTCTTTTGTCGTGTAAAGCGATTGTTACAACAGAACTTGTATGATTTTGTTTTAAGAATTGGACACCGATCAATCTTCGTTTTGTAGTACTTGTAAGATAGCATGTCCCTTGACATGCATTGAATGCTATAATTTATAAAAAATACTAGGTCAATAATTATCGCCATTTTTCGTCTTCAGAAAGCCGATGATGGGAAATAAATCTTGCGTCGTCGTATTTTCCTGCTAGAGAAATGGCGAAAGGTTAAAACTGGCGGGAACGGAAGAATGTGTATAACACATCGAAATTCGAAGTTTACAAATAACAATGATTCGGCCCATATCAATTTCAAAGCATACTCTATCATGATACCGGTAGTTGACAAACAGGTAAAGCGTGAATAATTTAAGCTTATTATTCTAATGGTGTAATTAATTTTACAGTTTAATCGTTAATCTTAAGAAAGAATTAAGAAATTCAAATATTATTAAAAACGATTCGATTAACATTTATATATACTATGCTCATATTTCTTTTCCTATTATCTGAAAATGTGTATGAACCTAAAACCAAAATATTAAATGAGTTAGTGCCTACAAGCAAGTCGCCATGAAAAGAACTTTGTTGTTTGTTTATTTATTTATCTATTGCGGGGGAAGGGGGGACAGATAAGGCTTGAAATTAATTTAAGGAGTGATTTAAACTGTTATCAATCTTAGTGAAAAATGACTTAAAACTTGAAAACAATATAAAGAACTTAACATAAGACTGACTGAAACTAATCTTTTTCATCTGTACATATGCAATCTATTTTATACATTTGATGGGTATACTGATAAAATGAAACAGGTATCTGCCGAAACAATCTCTATTGTTATCTTTGAGAAAGTGATTCGCACCCAAAGAACATGAAATGTTTTTTTTTATATAAAAAGCATAATTTCTAAGATGTTTAAAGTGTCAGAGTCTAGTTTCTTCTTACAACGTCTGAAGGATTTGAATTCTATTTCTATTTTTTCAGTATCCATTTTGAAATAAACATAGCTCAGTGAATTCTGCTATAGCCTGTGCTACGGGGTGAGATTTCCCCTCCTTCTCTTCTGATGATTATACTCAATCGAATCTAAACTCGCGAATTCAAGAATGACAACTAATCTTTCGTTTCATTGCTCTCAGAATATCTCCAGATTTGAAACTGTCTTTTAATCTTTTTCATCATTTGAATATACAAACCAAAAAGTATTGAGGTAGTGCCATTTGTAAGAGAATTGAAATAGTTTTATTGGAAATAAATATTTACCATAAAAAGAATGGTTTAAAAATAGATGTATGAAAAATTCCATGCTATTTACTATCGTTTTATCAGTCGATGTTTTTATCATCATGTGATCGTAAGAGGCGATTGCATAGGTTCGAATTACTGGAATCTATGCATCTCTTAGCTCTAACAGGTGAGGTGGTTTTTATCCCTATGAGTTTGTTACACCCGAAGTTAACCAAAATCATCTTTCCTGTTTCGGTGCAATAAGACCTAAATTGTGTTAGTGCGCCGTAAAACCAAAAAGAAGAAATGTCAGTGTGCTAAAGTAAATTCCCAACATTGGCAGGTAAACCTCAACAGTATTACCACCTTGTAATTGACCTTTGCTAGCATGCTGAGTAGATAGTTAATCAATATGATAAAAATAAACGATAATAATTATGCAGATCAAAACACAGTCCATTGTTCTTGGACAAGCAGGACCATGTCATTTTCTCTCTAAAATCTTGTAATAACATTGAAGAATTGTTCATTCAAATTGGAATCTTATTTGAAATAGATTTATTTACCTTAACCCTTTTTTTCTTGATTATAAACAGTTACAAATTTTATAGCATTATACATGTCATATAGGTTAATATGATGTAATATCACCTTGAGATAGATCAGATTTATATAATGCAAATATATAATGTACCAGAAGTGTTCACCCTTGATTAATTGAAGTGCATTTTATTAATATATATAACCTTATTAGTGACTGTCTGAAAAGATTTGTAATAGCTTGTTTGTGCAAACACTGTGAATGCTACTTAACTTTGCTATAAATTCATTCTCAATCATTCTTATTAATATTTTATAATAAAGCCTTAAAAATAAATACTGATACATGAATCTTAGAAACTTGATTAAATGTATATTCATTTCCTATACTTTTAAGGAAAATCTTGAAACTTAAAGTAAAGTTCAGACCATAATCAGACGTCAGAAATCTTGGTCTGCACTGGTTGTTTGAGTAGAATCTGTTGTCGCTTGCAGGATAGGAGTTCACTGGGTCGTATTTTTGATTATAATTAAAACATTTACTGACCGAGAGCTGACCTAGTTTCTGTTAATATTTCCAGTAAAATAATCAGCTGGACTTAAAGTATTAGTAAGGAATGAAACTAATTATCACCTGTGATAAACATGAACTTTGATACTTCTTGTTTCTTATCAGTCAATTCTAGATAGGAATTTGTATGATAAACACTAAAAAAAGCTAACCAGGGCACTCACAAAGTTGCAAAATTGAACCCTCAAAATTTAAATATTAAATAATGCTCTTTTTTTTCAAATTGTTTATTGTCTGTTTGCTTTATCTTTAAATTAATACACATGGAAAGAATGCAATGGCAAACAAAGCGACTTACAGAGACTGTTTACCTTTTGCTCAAAGTTTACGTTACTTTTAATCAATGTTTACTTTGAACCAAAATATTTAAGTTCCCAAGAAGATTTATGTGGCATTTATATTTCAGCAATAAAACACTGTGAAAATTGCTTCGTCAATATAAATAAATATAGAAGAGCGTGATTTTCTCAGGAAATAGATGATTAAAATATATATTAATAGAGAGATATGAAATATTTATAGAACAAAACATGCGAAAATATAATTTCCTTTTTATTTCATGCAGTCAATCTTAAAAAATGACAAGAGATTGACTACGCGGTATTATCTTAAGACTGGATGAAATCATTTTAAGTGGCTAAAGGATGTTTGTTCACTGGTATTTTAATTACATCTTAGCACTAATGGGAATCGAGTAGTTTTGCACAGACTGATTTCAAATCTTACAGTTACAAATATGCGCATTCGCTTCATATTCCATCATCTTATGGGAGCATTGGTTTCATTTTTCATCTAACATCTTATAAAGGGGTTCGTTTCATTTTTCATCATCTTATGAAGGCATTTGTTCCATTTTTTCATCATCTTATGGGAACATTTGTTTCTTTTTTCATCATCTTATGGGAGCATTTCGTTTATTTTTCATCATCTTCTTGGAGCATTTTCTTTTATTTTTTACCATCTTATAGGAGCAATTGTTTCATTTTTTCATTATCTTATCGGATCATTTGTTTTATTTTCCATTATATTATCGTAGCATTTATTTTATTTTCTCATCATCTAATTTGAGAATTTGTTGTATTTTTCATCATCGTATCGGAGCTTCATTTTTCAACATCTTATTGGAGCATTTTCTTTTATTTTTTAACCGTCTTATTAGTGCATTTCTTTTACTTTTCATCATCGTATTGGAGCATCTGTTTTATTTTTTAATCATCTAAGGGGAGCATTTATTTGTTTGATAAATATTCTGCAGATACTTTCTTACATGGTATGTGCCTATCAAGAAATAGCAATGTATAGAACACATGCCACTTTGCTTAAGATACCTGATTATCATTATAAGCATTGAAGTATTAGATATATATTATAAGCATTGAAATATTAAATATATAAAAGGATAATTAATATTATGAAAACCTTTTTGGTGGAAACTATTTTTACTCATACAACCAGTGCAGATCAAGACCAGCTGGTCGCCGTTGTTGGAAAACAACGTATGTCTTTAATGATCAGAAACGACAACCTGACACAATGTACAGTACGTTGACCTCGGCTTCAATCGTTTAAATCTCAGGTGTGGCAGGTGTTTCTTATTGTTCATTTAGAAAGTGAAGCAAATACTATTTACTTTGGAAAAATTATTTGGATAGAGGTGTATTTTGTAATACGAAGAGTTGAAACATGTAAGTCTCAGGCCGCAATGTCATATTATAAGTGGCGTTTCGACAATTCTTAACACCATATCTAATATCTTGGACGTCACTTATTATGATGGAGCATACATAATTACTTTTAATAATTAATAACCAAGTCGCTCACAAAGAATCAATACCATTTACTAAGATAGATTATTTTCTTAATGACATACTAAAAATATTATGCTACAATTAAATGATAATAAACATATATATGTTAACACTCACCTCTCTAGTGAGAACAATGGAAATGTTATCATCCAATCACAAAAGTTATGCAGATTAATAGAGAGAAATATAACACAGTTGTATGTATTCCACCAGGTATTGCATAGAACTAACCTATTTACAGCGTAGGAATACCTAGAAGTCTCACTCAGTAGTTTTTACACATTCAAACATAACCATCCTGCAAATCTATCTGACATTAATCGAAGAAGATTTTTTTTTATCTTACAACACAAAAACATCCAACAGTTGTCGTTTGATAGCGTATATAATCCAAGGCAGGTTTTCTAGAAACGCGGTTATACCTGTAACAGATAAAAATAACATTTGTTTATATATAAACCTAAAAGAACAGCTACATTCTCATTTTCATATATATATATTTAGTGTCTATATGCATGTAAATCAATATTATCTAGCATTGCACCCGCATTGCTATCTGAAATACCAGAACTTATTGCTCATGAAATATTTAATAATTTATACAGTTTAAGTTGTTTAATATAAAATCTTCAATGACATCAACGAAAAACGATATTTAAAAAAGCTGGAAGAAGCGTTTTTGAAGCTGTATGTTGATGTTCAATACAACAGCACCATCATGACAGTAATCAGATATACTAGTAATGATTTCAAGTTGGAATTTAGATGAACCTTATATGTAACAAGTTGCTAAGTTTGCTTTAAACATGACAGGTATTTTTCTTTAGATCCAATTAACGTATTAACTCCATATTGATAGTGCAAGTCTAAAAATATTCTTTAAAATTATCAACAATATATATCATTTATTCAAAGCCGAATCTTTTCGTCAAAATAATAATTATAATGAAACGGTATATTCAGATACGTTTTCATTTGTATTTTGTTAAAGTCTTATAAAATGTTTGTTTATACGTTCTAAATCATGACAATACATTATGGAACAAATGTACTTTATCAAGTGAAAATTTATTCGAAGAAATACCTAAACATTCTTCATATTGTAGATAAATCTCATACATATATGAACAATTTACATGAAGATAAAAGTTATATACTCATTGTTATTTACGTATTTTTCTAGATTATGCCAATAGTTGAAATTCCTTTGAAACAAGTTATAAAATCACTTATACTTTCTACGACGTTACTATAAGGTCCTCTCAAGAAATGAATCGTTTCATACCATATGTTATATTACGAATTTAATTTACTTGCAAATAAACTCGTCAAAGAAATATAATAACGCCCATCACATTCGGATAAAGTGTCTCGTTTCAGATTCTATATTTATCCCTCAAAACAATACATTTGATATAAAATGCAGTACACACTTTTAATAAGTGATAAGTTTTATCAGCAAATATTTTAATTTCCAAATATAGCACATTCACGGAGAAATACATCAACAATATGTCACATTTTCTGAATTATTAACCGACAATAGCAATCTTATCATCTACTTCTCCACAATAATGTCCGGTAGAAGATGTTATGTTCCCAGCTAAGAAACGATTTAATTTGAGCCGCGTCACGACAAAACCAACATAATGGGTTTGCGACCAACATGGATCCAGACCAGCCTGCGCATACGCGCAGTCTGATCAGGATCCATGCTGTTCGCTTACAAACCCTATTACAAGTAGAGAAACTGATAGCGAACAGCATGGATCCTGATCAGACTTCGCGGATGCGCAGGCTGGTCTGGATCCATGCTGGTCGCAAACCCATTATGTTGGTTTTGTCGTGACGCGGCTCATTTATGCATTTTTAAACTTAATCTGTAACAAAACAGAATTTGTATTCGTGAATGAAACTATTGAAATCAACATTGAAGTTAACACAACGTATCTAATTTAGGTAAGGCTCGATCTGAGACTAACATTTTACTTATTTTCTATCATTTAAAACGGAACAATATTGATTACCATCGTTTCTTTTTTATATTGTTTTTCTTAATTTGATTACATTTGTATCTGATTATGCCGACTTTAACAAATGATTGGTCATATCTTGTCGGCTAGTCTATCTAACCGGCTTCCTTGGATAACTAATAACCGATTCATCCTTAATTGTCCGCGTTCTTATTCCACATGACCAATGGATTCAATCAACTGCTTGATCGAACCGACTTAACTGGATAACTAACCATTTATTATGAATTTCTCCGCAAGTGACTGGCTGTTTATGTTCCTTGACTTTGAGTCGATCAATTGTAACGGAGAAATTTAACCTCGGCCACAACCCCTGGATTACAAATCCTATGCACTCCTTTTGAGCTAAGCTGGTGAACCTTATTTTCAGCATTAAGCTTATCAAATTATTATTGGTTAATCATGATAATGTTGAGATATTTCTGGGAAAATGCGTGCGGAGAAGGAATTCAAAACATTATATGTTTTAATCGATTCAAGAACGTACAGCTATTTCAAAACTAAATTACAATACCTCATTTCTAAAACGCTTTCTTGAAACACAGATTAAATGCAAGACTTCCAAAAATTCTTAATTATATCACACACATACAGCGATAAAACTCCCATCTGCACCTAAGAATTCATTACTTTTATTATAATATATCACTTTAATTATACAATAACCTTCAAAACAGTTTTCTGAAATGATGACATTTTGCAATTTAAAATAATTCAAGTTACATCAATTTAACACAAAATTTACATAACTTGATTGTGTATCTTATATAGGAATGAGGACTGCTAGTGTATTCTCAATTAAAGAGAGTGTTTATCGGGAAAATAAAACGATATTAACTGTCATTCGCATTTCAAAACTATCACGACAATTAACTAATTTCAATGAGAAGAAGCAAAAGAGTAAAAACTCCCAGAAACACTCTTACTGAACGAAGTTTTTAAAAAAAGATATCATGCATGCTATTATAAACTGATAATTCTACATGTTAAGCTTTATATTCATACTAAAGACTAAATGTCTCTTTGCAAATCGTTGAATAGCAATTTCTTATATGTTTTCGGCAACAGAAACAACCCCCTCCCTAAAAAAAAATAAATAAACCAAACATAAAAGACAACAAAACAACAACAACAACAAAAAACAACAACAACAAACAAAAAACCCAAACAAACAAAACAACAACAACAATTTATTCAATAACACTGAAGTAAATATTATGCAAATTGATCGCCTTAGTGATAATATCACAAAAATAAGATATGTTATACCACCTTTATAACATATCATGTATGTTTATCATTGCTAGAACGCTATATAGCAGAACAAGAAACCTGTTCATATCACGATGATATGCAAAATCATGTAGTTCACATTAAATTTAAAAATGCAATCCCAAGAATGAATGAACTCAGACAAATTTCTAGGAGCATATACACTTTTATCCTAGTAGATTCATGATTTGTTTAATATGTGCAATTTGCATGACTCAGAAACAACAAGTTGTTAAGGTAACAAGTGTGTTATAGGTAATTTCAAACAACTATAACATTCTGATTCATACTTAATATGAACATTACAATTAACTTCTCATTAAGTTAATAGTGAAGTAATAATATTCTACGATTTATATTGACAATAATAGAGCTAGAAATAAATACCACTTTATCCTCTGATCCATACTTGTAAAGATTTTTAACAGAACAGAACAGAAACTTTATTTCTTGGTTTAAGCATAAAAAACTCATCACCATATTACATATACAACATATAATACATAAACAGGTTATATGGTCCTATATAAACGGCTATTTGTTTATATAACCAAAGCCGCCGCGTTGCGAATGTTATTTTGCAAACAACCGTTTATATACGGTCATATAACCTGTCAGGAATCTTTTTTAGAAAAAAGTGAAATTTCTTAGAAAATTGACAGCCGTCGTGTTTTTAGGACTCTATAATATATACGTCACAATTATCCAATGAAAAATGACGTTTCAAACGTGCAGTATAATGAACATGTGCAGTAATAATATGGAATAAACAACCTATGTTAATGTTAAGCATGCTTATAGCAGAAACAAATGTTTTCCTATCAGGCTGATACTGAAGAAGTAGCCGAGTTATCCAGGGTCTTGCCAGGTTCTGAGCTATTAGAAAGTTATCCTTTATGTTTTCCTTTTAATTTTAAGAAAATTGAAAATAAATTAGCAGACGATTTTTTAGCAGACGACATTTTTCCCAGCATGCAAAGTATTATTAACTTGGCAGCTAGGCGATAATAAACAGGTGCAAATAATTCAGCGATTTAGTGACTTACAAACACTAAATTATACATTTACTCTTCACACTGTGAAAATAAACTGTATAACGTACTGTGACTCCATTGAAGATTTTATTATTACAAATATCAATGTTATCAGTGTTTCTTTTTTATGAGTTACAGTTTGAACAATCCTCAATATATTAAGAATGGTTTCAAACCATTTTCAAAACAACGTCAAGGTGGTCCATTATTCAGTTCAGAAGTTATCAAACTAGTCAGGATGATCAATTTGCAAGAGTTTGTTAAAAAAAGAAGTAAAGGACGTTTGATAAGTTATTTTATACGTACTAAAATTATACTACTTTTAAATGCATTTTCCGTATCATTAAAATTCAAAACACATTATTAAATAGCATAAAACAACAAATAATCATTGTCTTATCGATAGCGATTATTTAGAGAAAATCCCTACACACGGGATTGTTATTATAATTTGCCGATAATGATGTGTGTCAAGTATGGAAAAAGTGGTGAATATCGATTTAATATAAGAGAAATAGCTTTTGAACAAAAATAGCATGATATTTTCATCAAAGTATTTCTTCGTCACTTTATAATGTTTGTTCTCTTGGTAATAGGATTTGCTTTGATATCCGAGTAATAAAATATTTCTTTGATCCATTTAATAATTGTGAGAATTTAACATGATGAAATGGACTATTGCGTTCAACAGCAGGCATTTAGTAACACCACACAAAATATTTTAAATGAGCTTGTCTTGTCCATCTTTCAATCTGGACAAAACCATTTATCATTTTAGGGAACATTTAAAAACATGTATCGGGTAAAGTACGAAAAGTGCACACTTTCGATCAGACGGGACGGATGTGTAGGCTGATCTTGGTCTGAACTGGTCGCTTTGTCACCTGCAGTTGTTATTATTTTTCGATGTACGAGACGGATGCAATAATGTTAAAAAAATATTTCCAACAGAAGATGAAAATATTCACCCAGAAATCATGCCGAAGAAACATGAACAAAGCTTATATTTTCGTACATTAAATAAGAAATAATTCTTAAGGTTCCTATTATGCTATCAAGTATACGAAAATAGTTGTATATTGT